CTGTTGTAGATCTAGCTCTTTCAAATTTCTGATCGGAGATAATTTAGAAGTACCTCAAGGCCAGGGTCTGAAATCGTAAGGGAACTCTACAGCTATACCAATTGTAAGGTTTACAAGTGAAGTTATAGTTTTAGCTTAAATTTAGTTCTTTCTGATATGATGTCTCGTTGATTCTGTTGAAGAGTGATGCATGTGAACGATTGTAATATAAAGATTGGGAATAATGAAGATGTCAATTAACATCTGAATCCCGGAAAGTGTTTTAATAAAGATTAGGATAAACCTAGCAAAGTGTAAGGTCCCAGTGTGAATGTGTAAAGTGTAATTGGTACAATTCTTATTATGCCTGAACTTTTGATATATGTACTGTATTTGTTTATCTCAGAAATTTCAGTATTATGTCAACTGCTTCCACTTTCAGTTCAACACTTGATTCATCAATTTTACACAGCCCTAGGCTCAATATTTGTCATTAGTTGTCGACTGTTTTTAAGGGTTTTAGAGTTTTGTTTCCATGGTGAATGGAATGAAATGGGATAAATAGTCTAACCAATACCCCTCGAGAGCTAATTAAGACATTGCAGTATTATCACTTTGGGCCTTATTAAAAGTCAAATTGAAACTTTAAGAAATTCAAGTGACCGTAAGTACAACAATAAGATGTCGATAATCAATGAAATTGATTAATTGAGAGGACATTTTCTTAGTACAGTTAACCAGGCTTTGTAGTGGTTTGTTCAGAACTGTAGTTCTGGTTAGGTAACCATTAATTATGTCCTTTCAGCTACAATGACGTACATTTTTGAAATACCTCTACTGTAGCTAAATGTGGCATTTGTAATAGACATAGCCAAAGTTAATTTTGTGATAGATGTAGCCAAAGTTAATTTTAGGATCAGTTAGGACAGCTACTGTTTGTAACAGGCATGGGTTCAATTATATGATGATGTAATTAATTAAATTACAATTACATTATGAAATGGCATTGCTATTACATGACGGTCCAATGTAATTAATTAAACTACACATTACTTTTCAAGTCAAAATGATTTTTGAAATACAAACGTCAAAATAAATTATCATACTGCACAGATTTATCACACAAATTTAACTTTATGATTCAATCTCTGTATGACCATTGTCAAGATATTATTATTTTGCTACCTGTCCATCGCTTAATAATTTGACAGTCCTGAACGTCAAAACAATTAATTACAATATATTTAATTTAGACTCCTATTGGGAAGTTCAAGACTATAAGCTTATACAGAAGTGTATATTTCTTGCACATAATCATAGCAATAATGAAATATAGTTATTTATTTCCCTTACTCTCTTTCAGCAAGTGGATGTCCCTGAAGAAATGAAATCTTGAATGGTAGAAGGTATCTCTATTGATTCTTCTAACTTGGAATTGGCCATGGTGACCAACAATGGATTTGAGGATCTTATGGTGGAGAAAAAAGTCCTTCTTTCCGGACTCCAATTAGATGTTGAAGATGGTTAATCACTTGAGGAGATGCTAACAACCATGTTGCCTTTTAAGGTCACAGTACTCTCTAAAGGCGGTAGTATATTTACCATCACAAAAGAAGAATCAACAAATGGCAGAAACTAAAAAAATGTGGAAAAGATCATTGTATACTGCATTTGTAGTAAATTTGTATACAATCTTCAATTTACCTGAGTAGAAAGATTCACTAATTATACCAAGTTTGTGTAGAAAGAATCACTGTATACTGAGTTTGTAGTGTACATAGAAAGGTTTACTTATTTTATTTTTTTTCTGAGTTTAGTGTATACAATATGTATAAAAAAACTTTTTGTAGAAAAGATCACCGCATACTGAGTTTGTTTTTACAAATGTGTAGAAAAGATCGCTGTATACCAAGTTTATAGTTTACAATTGTCTAGAAAAATCACTGCATACTGAACATAATACGACTTCTGTTTAAAACCTTCATTTAAACTTAGGCATGTATTTTTTTATTCATCTTAAAAGTCTACCTACAACAATTTTGTGTATGCAATCTTGTACTAGGATATTGACATGACAAGATTACATTGCTGATCAAAGCATGGAAAGAATACTGTATCTAAAAACTGAATAAAACAAGATATAAGCATCTTTATCATGTTTTTATTATTATTATTATTTTTCCATAATATCTGTCCACATGGAATTTGTAAGCACTCTTATGCATTCTTATACCACCAAAAGGGTGGGTAAACTGGAATCAGGTTGTCTATCAGTCCATCCATCTGTTTGTCTGTCTGTAGACACATCTTGTCTGGACAACTCTGATGAAACTTTTCAGTAATATTCAGGACAATGTGTAGATGTGCATGCACCATTTTCCCTCGAAATATTGATTGCCGTGGCAACTGGTCAATATAGACAGGTTTTGCTTGTCGGTCAACTTCTAAACCTATGGACCAATTTCAACAAAACTTTGCAGGAATGTTAGGGAACGTGCACATACCGCTGTGTTTCAGAGGATGTTTCTGTGCAAAAGGTCACCATGGGGAGATAGCTAAGGCTGTGGGTGTTGGGGGTATTAGTTATCATTTGGATTACAGTTTCAGTTATCCCTGGGCAATGTGGAGAGGATATAGTAATGATTTTGAGGATTGAATGTAGAGGTCACAGTACTTGCATAAGTACTATATGATTACCTTGTAAACGCATTGAGACTAAGACAGTATACCTTAATCAAATTTGGAACATGTATCCCTTATGAGAAGGCGGTTTCTTTAGAAATTCAGGGTCAGATGTCAAAGATCAAGGTCACAGTCAAAAAACGGATAGATGCATGGGGGTGTTCTTTGTATTACCCTCATTTTTCTATCAAATTTCACAACCTAAAAGATATTCACATCTTGCAAATTTCAAGGTTCAAGGTCACTGTAAGGATGTTAAAAAATGATAATACAAGAGGAATAAAATATCTTGTGACAAGTTTTAGAGAACAAAGAATATATAAACATGAAAAATTGAAACAAAGACAATATCTACTCGAGATTCCCTGAAAAAGTACAAGGAGAATAAGACCAGGTGTTCCGGAAGAATAGGCATCTTCTATTTTAAGTTATGGTGACATATCATGTTTGTTTTAGAAAATTGGCACTCTTATGCAGTCATTTACAAACAATCTGGAAAATGAAGCTGTCCAATATTTGTATGTAGCATGTTATTTGCATGATGGTCTAACTAATGGTCTTCAACCAATGAGATACGCAGTCTTTAAAGTGATAATATGGTGTCCAAGATCAACATTTCCTACAATGTATCCAAAGAAATGGACAACTTCCCTATCCTTGCATCTTGGAGCCTACTTGGGATATGTATTGCATAAGTAATACTACTATGCTTGTTATTTCTGATATCTGCTGGTCATTTTTTATGGGCTGCAATGATTTACTGCTTGCATATAGTTGGTTTCAGTATATAGCAAGCTAATAACAAAGAACTTATTTTTTCAATGGTCTTAGCATACCAGTACTTTCAGTACTTTGATTTAGACTTTGATTTGTTCTAAATTTTCTGGTGAATATTTATCAGATATCAGATTCTGGTTCACACTTACCCTAAAGTATCATAACATCATGTTCTATACCCGATCAGATTCTGGTTCACACTTACCCTATAGTATCATAACATCATGTTCTACACCTGATCAGATTCTGGTTCACTCTTATCCTATAGTATCATAACATCATGTTCTACATCTGATCAGATTCTGGTTCACACTTACCCTATATTATCATAACATCATGTTCTACACCTGATCAGATTCTGGTTCACTCTTATCCTATAGTATCATAACATCATGTTCTACATCTGATCAGATTCTGGTTCACACTTACCCTATATTATCATAACATCATGTTCTACACCTGATCAGATTCTGGTTGACACTTACCCTATAGTATCATAACATCATGTTCTACATCTGATCAGATTCTGGTTCACACTTACCCTATATTATCATAACATCATGTTCTACACCTGATCAGATTCTGGTTGACACTTACCCTATAGTATCATAACATCATGTTCTACACCTGATCAGATTCTGGTTGACACTTACCCTATAGTATCATAGCATCATGTTCTATACCTGATCAGATTCTGGTTCACACTTACCCTATAGTATCATAACATCATGTTCTATACCTGATCAGATTCTGGTTCACACTTACCTCATAGTATCATAACATCATGTTCTACACCTAAGCAGATACTAGTTAACACTTACCCTATATTATCATAACATCATGTTCTATACCCGATCAGATTCTGGTTCACAACCCTATAGTATCATAATATCATGTTCTACATCTGATCAGATTCTGGTTCACACTTACCCTATAGTATCATAACATCATGTTCTACACCTGATCAGATTCTGGTTCACACTTACCTCATAGTATCATAACATCATGTTCTACACCTAAGCAGATACTAGTTAACACTTACCCTCTATTATCATAACATCATGTTCTATACCCGATCAGATTCTGGTTCACACTTATCCTATAGTATCATAACACCATGTTCTACACCTGATCAGATTCTGGTTCACACTTACCTCATAGTATCATAACATCATGTTCTATACCTGATCAGATTCTGGTTCACAACCCTATAGTATCATAACATCATGTTCTACACCTGATCAGATTCTGGTTCACACTTATCCTATAGTATCATAACACCATGTTCTACACCTGATCAGATTCTGGTTCACACTTACCTCATAGTATCATAACACCATGTTCTATACCCGATCAGATTCTGGTTCACACTTATCCTATAGTATCATAACATCATGTTCTACACCTGATCAGATTCTGGTTCACACTTACCCATAGTATCATATTGTTAGATTCTGGTTTGAACAGAAATAAGGGAAATTCATACCTTTCAGAATTTTGTAGACTTTTAATCAATGATTGATTTTCATGTCTTCAATGGTGTCTATAATTTATATATACAGGTTTCATGACACTGACCCTCACAAATCCAATCTGGGTTGTCAAGACGAGGATATGTCTTCAGTACGATCAGCAGGTACCATCCAGTAAAAACTATAAGGGCATGGCTGATGCTCTGGTCAGAATATTTCAGATGGAGGGATTCCGGGGTCTTTATAGGGTAGGTATACAGTGAGTGATGTGTCTCCCTTGACAGAGAATATGTATCTTGACAGAGAATATGTATCTTTGGTAAATACAAATGCAGCTGCATTATCAGCTAGAAATTCTTGTAAAGTTATTGATTTATTGATTTTGTAGATTGATTATTGATCTGTCTAAGCTTTTTTTTCCAGAGGTCAGGAGTTTGATACCTACTAGTGGTATTGAGATAGATAATGACCTGACTTTGTGTAATCATCTCTACAGGATGAGATATCTAGAGAGATCTGTGGACGTGTTTGAAACTCTGTCACACTTTGTGTAATTATCTCTACAGGATGAGTTATCTAGAGAGATCTGTGCATGTGTATCTAACTCTGTCACAATTTGTGTAATTATCTCTACAGGACGTGTTTGTAACTCTGTCACACTTTGTGTAATCATCTCTACATGCTGAGATATCTAGAGAGATCTGTGGACGTGTTTGTAACTCTGTCACACTTTGTGTAATTATCTCTACATGATGAGATATCTAGAGAGATCTGTGGACGTGTTTGTAACTCTGTCACACTTTGTGTAATTATCTCTACATGCTGAGATATCTAGAGAGATCTGTGGACGTGTATCTAACTCTGTCACACTTTGTGTAATCTCTACATGCTGAGATATCTAGAGAGATCTGTGGACGTGTTTGTAACTCTGTCACACTTTGTGTAATTATCTCTACATGCTGAGATATCTAAAGAGATCTGTGGACGTGTTTGTAACTCTGTCACACTTTGTGTAATCATCTCTACATGCTGAGATATCTAGAGAGATCTGTGGACAAGTATCTAACTCTGTCACACTTTGTGTAATTATCTCTACATGCTGAGATATCTAAAGAGATCTGTGGACGTGTTTGTAACTCTGTCACACTTTGTGTAATCATCTCTACATGCTGAGATATCTAGAGAGATCTGTGGACGTGTTTGTAACTCTGTCACACTTTGTGTAATTATCTCTACATGCTGAGATCTTGTGTAATCATCTCTACATGCTGAGATATCTAGAGAGATCTGTGGACGTGTTCTAACTCTGTCACACTTTGTGTAATTGATGAGTTATCTAGACGTGTTTATCTTTGGATGTGTTTGTAACTCTGTCACACTTTGTGTAATTATCTCTACATGCTGAGACATCTAGAGAGATCTGTGGACGTGTTTGTAACTCTGTCACACTTTGTGTAATTATCTCTACATGCTGAGATATCTAGAGAGATCTGTGGACGTGTTTCTAACTCTATCACACTTTGTGTAAATATCTGTACATGCTGAGATATCTAGAGAGATCTGCGGACGTGTATCTAACTCTGTCACACTTTGTGTAACTATCTCTACATGATGAGATATCTAGAGAGATCTGTGGACGTGTATCTAACTCTGTCACATTATGTGTAATTATCTCTACATGATTAGATATCTAGAGAGATCTGTGGACGTGTTTGTAACTCTGTCACACTTTGTGTAATTATCTCTACATGCTGAGATATCTAGAGAGATCTGTGGACGTGTTTGTAACTCTGTCACACTTTGTGTAATTATCTCTACATGATGAGATATCTAGAGAGATCTGTGGATGTGTATCTAACTCTGTCACACTTTGTGTAATTATCTCTACATGATGATATATCTAGAGAGATCTGTGGACGTGTGTAATTATCTCTACATGATGATATATCTAGAGAGATCTGTGGACTGTTTGTAACTCTGTCACACTTTGTGTAATTATCTCTACATGAGATCTGTGGACGTGTATCTAACTCTGTCACACTTTGTGTAATTATCTATCTGTGGACGTGTATCTAGAGAGATCTGTGGACGTGTTTGTAACTCTGTCACACTTTGTGTAATTATCTCTACATGATGAGATATCTAGAGAGATCTGTGGACGTGTATCTAACTCTGTCACACTTTGTGTAATTATCTCTACAGGATGAGTTATCTAGAGAGATCTTTGGATGTGTTTGTAACTCTGTCACACTTTGTGTAATTATCTCTACATGCTGAGACATCTAGAGAGATCTGTGGACGTGTTTGTAACTCTGTCACACTTTGTGTAATCATTTCTACATGATAAGGTATCAAGAGAGATCTGTGGACGTGTTTGTAACTCTGTCACACTTTGTGTAATTATCTCTACATGCTGAGATATCTAAAGAGATCTGTGGACGTGTTTGTAACTCTGTCACACTTTGTGTAATTATCTCTACATGCTGAGATATCTAGAGAGATCTCTGTCACACTTTGTGACGTGTATCTAACTCTGTCACACTTTGTGTAATTATCTCTACATGCTGAGATATCTAGAGAGATCTGTGGACGTGTATCTAACTCTGTCACACTTTGTGTAATTATCTCTACATGCTGTGATATCTAGAGAGATCTGTGGACGTGTTTGTAACTCTGTCACACTTTGTGGATTTGTTGATAATATGAACTCATAGATAGTACACTGAAAATCAGTGAAAATAAATCTCCCAGAAATGATAATGATATTACAGTAATTAAGGCTTCTTGATTCATAACCTCTGTTTTGTTAACTGTAAAACGATATACTTTCTATTTTGGAGGGGGATTTATTTTAGGTTTTTGTACTTTTATTGATCATTTTTTCTTTAAACACATCATTTGGTGGATGAATATACCTCAATCAGTGTACTTAAACTAATTTTTAGAGTTCATTGACATGTGGTTTGTGAAGAGTACAGTTGAAATCAACAAAAATGAATCTACGAGGAAAATGAATGGTTTGACAATAAGGTATTTTTTGTCAGGGTTTCTTGCCTGGAGTTTTTGGAATATCACATGGTGCTGTACAATTTATGGCTTACGAGGAAATGAAATCCCGCTACAATATCTACCAAGGTTATAATGCTGATTACCGTTTGGTAAGTAGAACAGTTTTAATTGTTGGTAGAAATATAATGATGATGATGATACATAAGATATATCTGACGTACCTAGATATTGTGTAAATGGCAAGATTTATCTGTATTCAGCCTGATGTCATACATGTCTCACAAATTACTGGACAGATCTATGTCATATTTTCTCATTTTCAGTTTTCCTATTGTGAATTTTCCATTTCTGGATAACAATATCCCTACATCTCCAACCTATGGTATTTACTTGTCAAAGCTGATTCAATATTCAAGGGCCTGAACCCATTATCATGGTTTTCACGGAAGAAACTGTCACCTGACTGACAAACTTGGAACACAGGGGTTCAAAAGATGCAGGTTGATGAAAAAAATGGGGGAGTTTTATGGTTGCCATAGTGATCTCATTGAGAAATATTTTACTTCTTTGTGTGACATGAAGCTGGATATATTTGGTACTTGTTAGTTTGCTTGTTGGTTCTGTTTCACAAATTTTGTAAACAGATTTGCCTGAAACTTTCAATAAGACAAAGTTCCATGACAGATACCAAAATCTCTCAAGTAAAGTGAGGATTTATCATTGTTGAAAATGGGTGTGCTCACCTGACCTGAGATTAAGACCTTAGAAGCTTAATACTCCCTACTGATGACAGTTTATAAGGAAACAGATCAGTCTTAGCTGACATGCTTATGTTCTTAGATAAGACAATGTACCCTTAGTGCTCTGGATTGCATGTATTGGGCCTCTGGTATGTTGTTCAATGAGGTAACCTACAACAACTACAAGGAGACCTTGCCCTAAATGACTGTTCATGGAGAAATATACCCAGCAAATCTCATTGGCAGTGTGGTAGTTTGAGATGTAGGATCTTACAGTTAACTTAGTATAGAATTTATTAAACAAGCTTAAACAAGCATTTAGGCATGTGACATAGTAGAGTTTTTGAAAGTTTCATCAGTTCCAAATTACACTGGCACCAGTATAAAATTCTATTTATCATATTACTCAGATTTCTGAAATATAAACTTTTAAACCAATTTTCTTATAAGACATCATGACTCAGACTTTATGATTTCACTGCTGAGACGATCATATCATCAAGACGTGGCTTATTGATAATGTCATAATGATGTCATGACACATGTGACTGACATGGTCGTATGACATGATACATGTGACTGACATGGTCGTATGACATGATACATGTGCCTGACATGGTCGTATGTCATGACACATGTGACTGACATGGTCGTATGACATGATACATGTGACTGACATGGTCGTATGACATGATACATGTGCCTGACATGGTCGTATGACATGACACATGTGACTGACATGGTCGTATGACATGACACAACTGCCTGACATGGTCGTATGACATGATACATGTGCCTGACATGGTCGTATGACATGACACAACTGCCTGACAGGGTCGAATGACATGACACAACAGAACAGTTATGCGGTGAAATGATATATCATTGTTACATTATCTTTTGTAGAAATCACTGGAATATATCGTGTTTGCGGCGTTATCAAAAATTATAGCTGCCAGTACAACATATCCTTACCAAGTGATACGATCAAGACTCCAAGACCAGCATAGAGATTACGGTGGAATCCTTGATATCATCAGTCAGATCTTTCGGTAAGTGTATCACAGTCTGATTAGCACTATTTTAGGAATAGATATATTTTGAATTAAGGACATCGGGACAAATTTTCATATGGTATTCTCACCCAAAAATTATCATTACAGAAAGAGATATATTATGGATTAAGGACGTTGGGACAAATTTTGTAATGTGGACACGGAAAATTTTCCATCAGGTACTCTGGCTTAAAACATTACAGGAATAGAAATATTGGGCTTTGTGGTATATAAACACCACTGCCAACAATATGATGTTTTTCCCTGTGGGACATTGTCGGGTTATTTTATAAGGATTGCTTTAACTGCATGCCGTGTTTTCCTACATACACATGTACTCATCATCTGAATCCAGCCAATAGGAAAATGTTTGGAGTTTTTCATATACCTCTACATTTATATTGTCTTTTGCCAAATTGTTATTTTTCTCAGCGTCTCCAAGTTTTCACCAGTTTAAGCCTTAAGCATAACTGACAAGTTCTAGAGGGAAGTACAATGTAATAGCTGTATGATGCAGATGGATTCATTATTTGGCCCAACTATATCTAATTCTTAATTTGTAGTAAAAGGTACTAATCACTTGTGTGTCTTTTGTACAATCTTTGACCCTACTGTATCTAATTCTTAATTTGTATTAAAAGGTACTATTCACCAGTGTGTTTACATGTACCAGTGTAAACTGTGTGCATGTTGAAACAATGACAATCCAACTAGAGATGTCGGAAATTAAGAATTTTAGAACTGTTTCCTCGGTAACATTGATGCTTTAATTGTTACCTTATTGATGTTAGAGATACATACAGTGCATAATTAATTACTCAGAAAATCTTTTTACAGTGAATCGAAATGCAGGATATGTGTAGCATGCCTTTATACATAGGTACTGTTTGGTGGACAATGTGCCAATGCGTTTCACCTAAGTGGGTTTTCATTCCTAGATCGCACATGAAAATGTATGGGGTCACCTGCTCAACCATATAGGTTTCCCTGGGTACTCTTTCTACATTTACAACATTTCCGAGCTTCAGTCCAAGTCAGCAAGAGTAGTATAAGCTAATAGCAGGTTTTCTACTACTTTAACCTGTCATTTTCCTTTTTATACGCCACCGGAGGCCGTCGTATATTGGCGTCATCTTCTTCGTCTGTCCGTCCGTCCGTACATCCGTCTGTACGTCCATTTCCTGTGAACGTAACTCCTCCTAAACTAATGATCAGATTTTCATAAAACTTGCTCAATGTCACTAATACAATGGTTCTATGTGCATGAAGAGGCAATTTTACGGTTCATTGATTTTTGTAAGATTTATGCCATTTTATCCTGATCTTTATATTTTGTGGCGGTGTATATTGATTATGTAGCCACCAGACTTTCATGATATTGTAGCCACCAAAATTTCACGATTATCTAGACTTTGCAACATTTGTTTTGGGTTATGTTGACGTTTTCATGTTCATTGCTATACATGGTTGAAGACATGATATTTCTACCTGAACGAATACAACAAATATGAAAAAATACAAGATTAAATCAAAAGATTGTTTTTATCTTACAAGAAAAATGTCATTCATGAAAAAAAGCATAACTTTAAACAAAAATTAACGAGAAATTGATAATTCATGCTTACGTTTCCATTTGTCCCTTCATGTTTCACAGTGTATGTATTTTACAGATCAATTTTAAATGAAACAACACACAGAATTTAAGTGGTCTTTATTTGTTATAATTCCAAGACTGATACATACTCTCCGTGATCCCGTTGTCAGGTAGCACTCTCCGTGATCCCGTTGTCAGGTAGCACTCTCCGTGATCCCGTTGTCAGGTAGCACTCTCCGTGATCCCGTAACACTCTCCGCTATATGTGAGATGTTGCAGTGGGGCGAAAGTATCTGTACAATACAGGAAAATAATTGTTGTCATATAGCTTTCAGTCTGTGAAAAAACTTCTATACATGAAAAAGTTTGATTTATAAAACCTCTATACATGAAAAAGTTTGATTTATAAAACTTCAATTCATAAAGGAGTTAGTAGCAATATATAGCAATAAAATTTTGGGACCAGACAAAAAATTTGTTACGTAGAGAAATTTGAATCATTGAAGTTCTATTCCTAGAAGTTTGACTGTATGTACAATTATAATTATTCATGTAGTGCGTACATTTCATATTTTTGTTCCATTTTCTGATTCTCCGTGGCCTGATGTTTTTATTTTCTATGTTAATTTGTAAAATGTATTTGACAAATGCGTACAGTTTCCTAATTTGATATCAAATCGTTTATTCTTCTACTTTCTAAAGTACTGGGGTAGCAAACCTACCCTTTACTAGAACTAGATCGAACTAAATCTTTTTATTAAGGTGTGTTTTTACTGTGAATTGTAGAAATTCTTTCATTATAAGTAATGACAGGTGTTTGTTCTGAGGTGTGATGACAGGAGTTACCTTTACATGTTACATGTTATTATCTACTAATTTGCACATTGTGCAGATGCCAACTGCCATTGGTTTTATTCTATGCAGGTATGAGGGATTTCAAGGCTATTACAAGGGTTTTGGAATCTACCTCTTACATGTGACGCCGAACATATGTATTGTGTTTCTCCTCTACGAATATGTGACAGCCTGGAATAAAAACAGACATTTGAATGATGCAGACCAGAAGGAAAAATGGAGTTGATGAACACCTACATCCGAGTTTTCAGGATGTTCAAAGTGAATGTCCACGAACAGAGGAATTTCCATGAATCTGGTTTAAAGTGAGTTTGATCCATACTGGGGAGTTTGGAAGACCACAAATGGTTCAAATTAAACTGCAGGAAAATGAAGAGTGAAAGATCTGAACATTATTGAAGACCACTGATGTGACGAGTTTCAAGAATTCAGGATTTCTGAATGAGGCCAGCATTTAACACATCTTTTCTTAACATAACATGGAAATGAACTAGACAATTTGAAAGTGATATATGTTTTACAGGCATGAATGATTTGTGCAAATGCTGGAGTAAACAAATTATTTTGTGCAAGAAATACAAAGCTGTGATAAAATGAGTGAAATTTTTTTGAAATAATTCTAGAGAGCGATATCATTTTTGGATGTTTTTCACACTTGGCCTAAAGAGTAAGGGTTGAAGGTCCTAGTTAGTTTAAGCTATAGCATGATGCCCATCATCCAATTGTTGTCAACTTTTCCCCTTTAAACAGCTTCTTTTCAATAACCAAAAGGCCTAGAATTGTGATATTTGGCTGGAAGGTTTCTGAGAGTTTTATAAAAAGAAATAAGCTTGAACAATATTCAAGGTCACAGGGGTCAAATTTGTTGAAACCATCTCTTCTCATTAATTAGGACAAGTACCAGCAAGGGGAGCAATGCAGGCCCATTACGCCTCTTGTTAAAATTGTTGTATTTTGTTTCAGATATTGATTTGAATTTTTTCTTATTTTTTGAGACTTGGTTAGCATTGACAATCTTCCATTGTAAACATTCCTTTTTAACTTGATGAGGTCTTTGTGTTTATCATGAATTTGACTAGTCAGAGTTATAGACACAAGGGAGCAATATCTGAACACCTTTTGTTGTACACATTAGAATTACTGGACTGGTTGAGTTACCTGGAAATTTACCTGCTATGTTTTCTCATTTTTCTTTAATAATTATTATTATCATGAGAGTTTCTTTACACTCCTGCAAATATAACAAAATATAAACTCATTAGAAATAATAATGTAGAACTTGTTTGTTAATTTTGTTTTTCTTTTTTTTACTTTTAATAGTTGGTGTTAAATAATAAATAAAATGAAAAAAAAACAATGGAGCTATCTATACTTTTCTTTTTCACTTTCTTGTTTTATAGATTGTAAGGGTTCTACAACTTTATTAAAAAATATACCATCTACCAATACAATATACCATCTACCAGTACAATATACCATCTACCAGTACAATATACCATCTACCAGTAATGTTACCATCTACCAGTACAATATACCATCTACCAGTACTGTTACCATCTACCAGTACAATATACTATCTACCAATACAATATACCATCTACCAGTACTGTTACCATCTACCAGGACTGTTACCATCTACCAGTACAATATACCATCTACCAGTACAATATACCATCTACCAGTACAATATACCATCTACCAGTACAATATACCATCTACCATCTACAATATACCATCTACCAATACAATATACCATCTACCAGTACAATATACCATCTACCAGTACTGATACCAACAAACAGTACAAAATACCATCTAACAATACACTATACCATCTACCAATACAATATACCATCTACCAGTACAATATACCATCTACCAGTACAATATACCATCTACCAATACAATATACCATCTACCAGTACAATATACCATCTACCAGTACAATATACCATCTACCAGGACTGTTACCATCTACCAATACAATATACCATCTACCAATACAATATACCATCTACCAGTACAATATACCATCTACCAGTACAATATACCATCTACCAGTACAATATACCATCTACCAATACAATATACCATCTACCAGTACAATATACCATCTACCAGTACAATATACCATCTACCAGTACAATATACCATCTACCAGTACTGTTACCATCTACCAGTACAATATACCATCTACCAGTACAATATACCATCTACCAGTACAATATACCATCTACCAGTACTGTTACCATCTACCAGTACAATATACCATCTACCAGTACTGTTACCATCTACCAGTACAATTACCATCTACCAGTACTGTTACCCTCTACCACAATATACCATCTACCAGGACTGTAACCATCTACCAGTACAATATACCATCTGCCAGCACAATATACCATCTACCAGTACAATATACCATCTACCATTACAATATACCATCTACCAGTACAATATACCATCTAATATACCATCTACCAGTACAATATACCATCTACCAGTACAATATACCATCTACCAATACAATATACCATCTACCAGTACTGTTACCATCTACCATTACAATATACCATCTACCAATACAATATACCATCTACCAGTACAATATACCATCTACCAGTACTGTTACCATCTACCAGGACTGTTACCATCTACCAGTACTGTTACCATCTACCAGTACAATATACCATCTACCAATACTGTTACCATCTACCAGTACAATATACCATCTACCAGTACTGTTACCATCTACCAATACAATGTACCATCTACCAGTACAATATACCATCTACCAGTACTGTTACCATCTACCAGGACTACCATTACCAGTACTATACCATCTACAATACAATATACCATCTACCAGTACTGTTACCATCTACCAATACAATATACCATCTACCAGTACTGTTACCATCTACCAGTACAATATACCATCTACCAATACTTTTACCATCTACCAGTACAATATACCAAATACCAGTACAATATACCATCTACCATTACAATATACCATCTAACAATTCAATATACCATCTACCAGTACAATATACCATCTACCAGGACTGTTACCATCTACCAGTACAATATACCATCTACCAGGACTGTTACCATCTACCAGTACTGTTACCATCTACCATTACAATATACCATCTACCAGTACTGTTACCATCTACCATTACAATATACCATCTACCAGTACTGTTACCATCTACCAGTACAATATACCATCTACCAGGACTGTCTACCTTTACCATCTACCAGTACAATATACCATCTACCAGGACTGTTACCATCTACCAGGACTGTTACCATCTACCAATACAATATACCATCTACCAGTACTGTTACCATCTACCAGTGGCCATCTTGGATTTTAACAGTTTTAGTTCATTGCAAATTTTTGAAAATCTGGAATGGACTTGACTACCGATGTAACTTTGTGTTTATTCTGTGTTGCATGATTTGGTTACGCCTCAGTGACTCTTGCTTTCTATCCAGGGACCTCTGGTAACCTCTACAGGACAGGTGTACACTGATCACTGTATAGGACACTGAGCCCCACCACTCTATGGTACTGGATAGCTAACAAAGACCGAGTACAGAATACTTTTTGACACTTATCACATGTGTTCTGTGTAGCATTGTCCACCGTTCGTAAACTTTCATTCAAATGAATTCTTCTCAAAAACCAAAAGTCCCAGGGTTCTGATATTTGTCCTGTAGCATGATTGATATAGGGCTACAAAAGTTTTTAGGCTCACAGGTATCAAATATGATCAAAGTTAGTAAGAAATATCAAAATACTACACATGTCCATACATGGTAGTTTAATTGCATGCTTATTTTATCTGACTCTAGGGACACAAGGGTTGGGGACTCTAGAAGATACCATGCTTATTATATCTGACTGACTCTAGGAACACAAGGGTTAGGGCTAGAAGATACCATGCTTATTATATCTGACTGACTCTAGGAACACAAGGGTTGGGGCTAGAAGATACCATGCTTATCATATCTGACTGACTCTAGGAACACAAGGATTGGGGCTAGAAGATACCATGCTTATCCTAGGAACACAAGGGTTGGGGCTATTTTATCTGACTGACTCTAGGAACACAAGGGTTGGGGCTAGAAGATACCATCCTTATTTTATCTGACTGATGCTTTGGAAATAAAGGATGGGGTTAAAAGGTGTCAAATGAATTCCAATTATCAAATTTATCAGTAATTTGCTTCAGTTCCATGCATATGGATCCTTGGGCAGAGAGGTGAGGTGAAGTAAAAACAAACCTTTGTATTTCTTCTTCGTTTGTATAAACAAATAAACAAATTTTAAACAGATTTAGTTTAGAGTAGATGAAGGGAATTTCATCTTGCCCCAATACCAGAAGTAGATCATGGATGGGGTCGAATAGGGGGAAAAGGGACAAGGTCAATGGAAGGATTAGGGGTTAACCTTTGATATCCTTTTCCTTTAATACAGATGAAATAATTGTAACCAAACCAAATGAGTAAGAAGAAGAGGCCGTAGTATAAAGCCTCTAATTTCTGGTGGTTTGATGTATTCTTAAACAGGTTTTCTGCACTGTTGTGTTTTTATCGTAAATGTGAATATATTTTAGTGATACATATGTATAGTTTAAAAATTTATTTTTGATAGTATGAGATAAGATAAGACTTCTTACATGGAACACATTTCACACTTGTTAAACTGTCATTGAAATAAAGGTTTCTTATGTTGACATTAGTTGTTTTTGTATGTCTGATGATTAGGAGATATCAACATGCTTTATCTATTCTTGGTTGAACAATACCCTTTCACACTTTTTAACTTATCTTATTTATCCATTTTTGGTCTGTCCAGCTTCAATTTTTTCCTTTAAATGACTTTTCAAGCAAGATGAATGTGGCTGGCATGTTTCTGGGATAAAGTCTGACAAAGGTAGCAGAAAGAAATGATCCATATTGAAGGTCACAGGATTCAAATTTAAAAAACCTCTAAATGTGATACATGGCTGGTATTTTCATGGGATGATGTCTTACAAATTAGGTACCAAAAGAAATGACCTTGACACTTTTTCAAGGTCACACAAGTTAAGTTTGTAAATTCTTTCCAACAGCTTCTTCTAATTAACCAAATGCCTAGAATCATGATAGTTGGCTGATAGGTTCTCTGGACCAAGTTCATAAGAATTTCTAAAAGAAATTTCCTAAAACTGTATTCAAGGTCACAGAGGTCAATTTTGTTTAAAACAGTCAGATATGTAATGATTAACCTAAAAGGCCTAGAGTCATGTCACATATATGTGGTTAGTAAGCTCCTGGGAGAAAGCTTAACAAATTTTGTGAAATAAAATTACTTTGCCTATATTAAAGGTCAAATTTGTTAAAAGATAACTTCTCATAAACTTTGTGAATTTGCAAATAAAAAAATGTATCTGGAATTTAAGGTTTTGTAGGGCATAAAAGTAATGTGGTGAAATTGTCTTACTTTTCCACAAGTTACATGTTCTTTGTTGTGGACTTTTTTGGGGGTTTTTTTGGGTTTTTTTTGGGGTTTTTTTTTCAGCATTGAAATCTCGTCTGAATATTTGCAGTGTCAGTTTTCAACACATCATCATCAGACTGTTCAAATCTCCCTTATCCATCCAACTGTCCATTGCTTGTCGGTCTTTAACTAAGTACAGGAAGCCTGAGAGGTTGCTATCATGGATTTTGATGATGGAAAATTGTTATTACTAGTGCTTGAGAAGTGCTGGATGGGCAGTCCTCAAATTTCTTATACAATGTATAGGTTTCCTTTGGGCCTGTTATTGGTGTTGATTCAATTTTGGGAGTTATCACAAAAATCAAAATGACCGACTGGTACTGTCTTGGTTTTTTAAGTTAAAGACTGTTACTTCAATTTTAGTGTTCACTTAGTATTCTCACATATGTTGATTCCACCCTGTTCCTTGTTTAGAATGCTCAGTTTTGGAGCCAGCCAGAAAAGAAAAAGTTTAGCACGATTGTCCAAC